CTTCACTGGGCGCTTAGGGGCGCCCATCGCCGTCTCCTTCCACGCCATGTACTGCCGCAAGATCGCGTTCCGACTTGCCCGGCCGATAGTTATGAGTCTGGACGCCTCGTTTCTCTTATCCGCTGCGTGCTTGCGCTCAACGCCCAGGCTGGTCATCAGCATGGCGCGGGCAATGGTCGCCACCTCCTCCTGCACGGCCGCGGACATCAGGAACGTGACGGCGTCGGCCTCGGACCCTCTGCTCTTCGCTTCTTTCTGCAGCCAAGAGCTGTATCCAATGTCAAGTTCCTCGGCCGGCGCCTCGAGGAAGTCGCCGCACGCCTGAGGCCACCCGTTCGGGTTGCACTCAGCAGATATACGCCATAATTTGCAGGGGTACTTCCCGAACTGCCCCAAACGCAGCAAGACGTGCCCATAAGTGGTTAACAGCGACATGCACGCCCCTGCGGCAGGCAATTTGGGGTCGCCCCCCACGCGGCCAAGCAAATGCGACAGCAGTTTCCCCGCTTTCTGTTGAATTGCGCCTGACGAAAGGGACACCAGCACTGAGGTCTTGGCCCCCTTCTCCTGCGATACCATGTTCTGGCAATACAGACTAATGCGCAAACAGAGCACAGCGATTCTCAACTCACCCGCCGTCTCAGGTCGAGACCAGAAAGCCTTGACTGCAACCAAGCGTTTTCGTTGTTCTTTTCTTGGCTGAATAGTCTGAACCGTGAATGCCCCAGGAGGGATATTAAGCATATCAATCAAGAGTAATGTTTGCACGCGCCAACCAAAGGTCCAAAATCTGCTTAAAGTTGGATGCTCTTCGACAACCAGGACCCTTTTCTGCTGGGCCTGCCAGAACTCGCCTCTCAATACTCTGATGTCGACAGCGTCGGGGTCTGAGCAACAGTACGTCGGCCTATCCAGGGATAAGCAGTAGAACTTCAAGAGGCGCTTCGGCAATACCTCATCGCCGTAAAGAGAAACGAGACGACCCACTCGTTCGTCGTGGGCAGCCTGGGCGGGTGGATCCAAGCGCGCCTTCTGCAACTTTGCGGCCACAAACTCCCGGAATGATCGACAGAACTCCTCGTTATAGTCGCTCATGAGGTGTTTGAACAACCTCGAGCAAGTTGCGAGCAAAATGCTCGAGTTAATTGGATCCTTGAGGATCTTCCCACACAGCGCAATGGCCACGACGAGGTTGACCAGATGGGATGCACAAGGGATGACAATGAGGCGGTAGGTGATGTTGCATTCAGCCAACAAGCTGGCGTACAACCTTCTCGCTGCTGCGCCATTGGTGAAAATGGAATCGCCGGTCAGCATGTGCACGATCCTGAGAGAGCTCCCGCGCGGGCGTCCATCCAGGGCCGCTCGCGCCACTCGCATCACCACCGACCGCAGCGCATGCGCGATCGTCGCCGCGTCCTTCCGAAGAAGGGGCTGGAGCTCGCACCAAACGTCGATCTCCGCATCCCCGATGATGCACTTCACGACGTTGTTCTGTACTTTACTGCTGCGGCTCCTTGCAAGCTGCGGGCCATGGAACACAAACCGGTCGTCCTCCCTCTTGACGTAGGAGCGGACCCGCATGGAAGCCTCGTCGTGCACGTGCGGTAGGAACAGGGTTGCAGCGGGCGCTGCCGATGCTGCCTTCGTGACCTGTTGCATATTCATCTGCTTCACGATCTCTGCCATCGCATCGCGAATGCGACTGACAGAAGTGTAGCTGACAGAAGCGATACCATCCATGCTAAAATCCCTACACATGCGGGCGACACTGCGCAGGGATACGCTGGGAGGGGAAAAAGCTGCTCGGACCACCCACATGAAATTGATGAGACCACCAGAATGGGCGGCAAGTTCTTCCTGATACCGACGTTCGGAAAGTGCCCGTTGAACGCTCTGGTACCGAACTTTCTTGAGAAGCCGATGCTGGTCATCGCGGGTCAATGCAAATGTCCTCTTCCCTCTCTGGGCCAGGTCAGACGCGCCCTCGGAATCCAGCGCGCGGATGACCGTGTCCACGGCAGCCGCGCTCGCAGGGAACGTGTCGGCAACGTTTGGAAGCCGACGGAATCGCTGCGCCGCATCCAGCAGGTCCTTCGCAGCAACAGCTGCCATCGCCACCCCGGCGAAAGGCGGGCCGCGCGACTCGAGGCATCGAAATGGCAACGGAGGTAAGAGAAAGGAGGAAAGGGAGGGTTGAGGAAGCCCGCCCAAGCTCCAAACGGCCCTGATTCCTACGAGGGCGACGAGGTCCATTCATATCCGCTGCCTCAAGCCACGCCCATCCTGGGCCCACGATCGGCGCATATGCCTCCCCGGCCAAGCCAGGAAGGCGCGCGCGCCGCTCCTGGGCCCAGGATGGGCCTGGCCTGGGGCAGTGGATGCGCATAGTCCTCGCTGCCCGATCTGCGCCGCGACAACGTCAAAATCGTCTCCGCACCCGCATATGCGGAATAGGCGTATGAGACTTCGGGACCATAGACTCACCGTACGCCCCCCCCGTGCCGCGTTATCTTGCAGCCAATGGCACTGTATGCCTAGATTTAACCGGTTCTATGACTAAGATAAGGCCCAGGGATTAAACACCTAATGTATGCCCTGCAAGCAGCTAGCGCGTCGCTCCGCTCAGCGGAACGGCTTAGAAGGGCTCGGGACGTTGACGCTTGGAACTTGGAATGGATAGCACGTCGCGCCGAAGCGTGGTGGGCCAGAACCGGCGGCGTGACACGCTGAGCCAAAATTCCTGACCGTACATCGGATGGCAAGGCATGCGCCAAGCTCGAGGAATCCGGGACGGTGACGAGCAGGGCCCTCGTGCCCGCGGGAATGCAAGCCCTCGCCCTGAAAGACAGCACTTCCCAAAACCACACGGAGGACAATCGGAGAAATTGAGCGTAGCTCCACTAATTGCCAGCCGATCCGAATTTACTATGTACTTGTCGTGCACGCCACACTAGAAGCGGTGAGGCTGCATCGCGGTAGTCCCAAATGGGGGCTTTCGACCGAAGTCACGTGGTATGTACAACCAGTTCTGACACAAGGGTGGCGACGAATCCACTACCTCTGACCTGCTCGCGGTCACTCGATCCGCCAGCCAGCAGGCCCGAAGTGCTCGCTCATGCTCCTCCTCCTCCTCCTCCTCCTCCTCCTCCTCCTCCTCCTTCTTCCTCTCGGACGTGGAATGCGAGTTGAGACAACAGCAACTCGAAACCGGTCCCTGGACCCCTCTCGGGGCCCAGACGCAACAGTTTTCCGAGCTGCGTCCAGCCGTGGCGACGAGGGCCTCCCCCGGAGGCCAATTGCCGTTTTCTCAACTCGCCCGCGTCTGATCTCGGCGGCAAGCCCGGGGGAAGTGAGAGGGGGCAGGCCTTCTCAGAAGGCGGCAGGTCTTCTCAGAAGCCCTGTGGACTTCTGACGAGGAGTGCCTGCCCTCGGAGAAGTTATGACATCTTCGAAGGCCCGAGCCCTCCCGAGCCTTCGGAGAACCCCCTCTGCATTCCCCCTGGGCTCGCTCTCCTCTGTTCCTCCTCCTCCTCCTCCTCCTCCTCCTCCTCCTCCTCCTCCTCCTCTTTCTAAGCCTTTTGCTATGACCTGGCAAGATCACTTGCATGGCACTTCGCCCCCCCCCCCCCCCCTCCGCCCCCCCCTCCGCCGCGATGCCAAACACCGCTAGGCCGAAAAGGCGGCAAGTGCGCCCCGAAGTGCGTGAAGTGCAGATTTCTTTTCGGGCCTCGCCACGCCCCCCCTCAATGTAAGCAACCTTGCCTGTGTACCCACCCATGGGGAGGAGGACGAGGAGGACGAGGAGGATGAGGAGGAGGAGGAGGACGAGGAGGAGGGTGAGGGGGAGAAGGAGGAGGAGGAGGAGGAGGAGGAGGAGGCGGGTGAGGGAGGAGGAGGAGGAGGAGGAGGAGGAGGAGGAGGAGGAGGAGGGAGGAGGAGGAGGAGGAGGAGGAGGAGGAGGAGGAGGAGGAGGAGGAGGAGGAGGAGGAGGGAGGGGGAGGAGGGAGAGGATGAGGAGGAGGAGGAGGAGGAGGAGGAGGAGGAGGAGGAGGGGAGGAGGAGGAGGAGGAGGAGGGAGGGTGAGGAGGAGGAGGAGGAGGAGGAGGAGGGGGAGGAGGAGGAGGAGGAGGAGGAGGAGGAGGAGGAGGAGGAGGAGGAGGAGGAGGATTGCTCCCCCCCACCCCCCTCCATGCAAGCCTCCATGCGGGCACCCTTCTCCCTCCTGCATCTGGGGCGGCGGTTGAGCGGCAGCCGCCAGCCAACAGCCAACAAAAAAGTGACGTGGGCGGCGGCCAGCCGCAGGTGCTTGGGGGGCGGGCAGGCGGGGTAGGCGGCCGCATGTGAGCCTTCGGTGGCAACTCCTGGGAGCCTCCCATCGCATCTTGTCGGTTCTTGCGAATCGACGCTAATCGACGCTGTATCGGCGCTGATCGACGCTGAATCGACGCTAAATCGACGCTGGTCGACGCTAGCCGACGTTAGATCGGCGCTACCTCGTCGACTCCCAGACGCGAATCGACGCCAATCGACGCTATAGACGGAATTAGAAGGGTATACCTGGCTCCCATGATCTAAGGATGGGTGGGGGGGGTGGGGAGGGCTAGGTCGGGCATGTCCCCCTACAGTCGGGGCGTTGACCTAAGGAACCCTAAATAAGGAACGGGCCCCCTTTTTTCCATAAGTTGAAGTTCGATTTCCTATCGAAAACATAAGGGACACCTGAGGCAAGCTGTGAACCACTTAAGGAACGCGGGCCCCTCCCCAACCAAAAGGGTTCCTTCTTCAGGGCCCCGACTGTACAGGCGGATTTTGGCCGACAGATAAAAGATAGCCAAACTGTACAAACACATACACAATCGCAATCCAGAACTCGTCCCCAGAGCACTACTCTTGGATACTCCTCCTGCAGAGGGCCAGGCCCGACTGAAAGGCTAGGGCTCACGTGTGGCCACCGACCAGGGGGCCCAGCCTGGGGCGGCCGCAGGCCCCGCGCGGCGTCACGGCGAGGCCCTGCCGCACGAGGCCGACGCGGCGAACACCGAGGAGAACGGCGGCGCGGCCCCCTCGAGCTCCGACTCGTCCTCGCTGATCTCGTCGAGGACGAAGTCCTGGGCATCGCTTCGCCGATCCCCGTCGCTGGCGGGCGCGGGGGGGGGGAGCGAGAGGGGGCGGGCCTCCTCAGAAGGATCGGGAGGTTCCCGGCCCTTCCGAGAAGTTCTCTGAGCCTCTTCCCCGAAGGGGGAACAAAAAACCCTTGCCGAAGGCGCGAGGGCTTCTCTGAGAAGTACCGCCGCCTTTTGAGAAGGCCTCCTCCTTCTCGCTTCCCCCCCTCGCTGTCTGCCGACCCTGTCTCTGGGCCCCCTCGAGCCATGAAAAGAGCACGACGGACGGCGTTCCGCCGTTTGCGGCATCTGCATCTGGAGGCTCCGGCCGGGCCCCGATGCCGTCCAAAACTACTCCGCTCGAGAAACCGGCCCCGGGGAACGGGTCGGGACCTCCGGGGGCCCAGGTCCTGACAGAAATCGTGACATCGGGGGACTGGCTCCCCGGCGGCGTGGCCTGCCCTCCACCGGGGGGGCGGGATGGTGGGGCGGAGATGCCTGGGGAACCAAAGAGTACAGAAACCGCTACTCCCTGGGGCGCGTTCTGAACAGGCTTTTGACGCGAATCCAGCAGTGGCGACGAGGGCCCTCCAGGAGGCACCAAGGGTAGACAGCGGGCGAAGACTCTTCAGACCAGCGGCATGGATCCTTTTTCCTCCTTTGGATGCCATGGTCCAGTGGGGATGGGAATCGGTTGCGCGAACCGAACATCCTCGCAAGCTGACCGCGGCGACGGCGCAGCCGACAACCGCCTGAAGCGGGCAGAGAGACCGCAGCCCACCGAGGCCGCACCGACCGGCAGCCAGCCGAGGAGGACGCCACGGCGCGGCGACGATGCACCGGCCGATGGCACAGAAGGGACCGGGTGCCAGCCGACTGCGACGCAGTCGAATCGACCGAACTGCGGACACCCTTGGTCCTCCAGCTCGTTCATCACCTCCGTCTCGTAGATGCCGCGCCTCGGGGTGACCAACGAAGTCCTGCTCGAGCAGACGTGCGACATCGTCGACACGGTTGAGGGGGACCACCCCTTGAACGGCTCCGCGTACGAGTGCTGTGGGCCACTGTTTTACCGCGGCATGGGATCCACCTGACGTGCTGAGATTCCTCGCCCTCTGCCCGACGGCGCACCCGCTGTGTGGCGAAGCCGAGATGGAACCGCGCAACCGACCTCCTCCACCCTCTGCCTCCAATGTCCCCTCTTTCCCCCCCCCTCCCATCCTCTTCCCTCGTCGCCTCCTCGACCTCACTCCTCCCAAGATTTCCGACGTCGTGGAAAAAATACGAACTCCGCGGAAAATCACGACTGGAGCCCTCGGCCCCATCTCGATGCGGGATCTCTCTGGCTTGACCGGTCGGTGAAAACCCCCTGGCTCGACACGCGGTAAGAGCGCGCGTCGATCTGTGTGTTTTCACGACGCCCAGATCTCAAGGCACTCCCGTCACGCTTTTAGCCAACCTCGAGCTGATCCAAATCACCAAAATCGGAAAACCCAAGGCAATGAAACGGAGGAAACCTTCAGATGGGCCCCGAGATACGGAGATGCCACCCGTAAGGATAAGGATATCTTCAGGCTGGTAATCCGTATCCTCCTCGATCCCGCACGTCTCGTGGAGGGCATCTGCAAACATATTCGCGCGTGGTGGTGCGCATTGAGGACGCAATGGCCTTGCCGAGGAGCAATGATGCCGGGCGAAAGGGAGTGGGACGGGTACGGGGAGGACGGGGCGGAGAGGGAGACGGAGGACCAGGACCAGGAGGAGGGAGAAGGAAAGAAACACAAGGAGCAGGCTAACAGAGCCTCGAGACGGACTACCGAAGCTTCACGACGGCCTCGAAACTGCCCAACATGACCCCCCAAAACGTCCCAATAGGTTCTCCAGAAAACCGTGCCAGATGTTTCTGCGGCTCTCATAGGTTTAAGCATGCTCGCCTCGTCTGACTTCCAGATGCACAACACAGCCCAAGCAAGGCGCTTCCAACAGCGCCCACAAAGTGCCCCTACTGGGGGCCAAGATGGCCAAAGGAATCCCCAAGACGGGCCCTGAGTAACTCAAGATGGCCCAAGATGCTCCCAATAATGCCCCAAGACGGGACTAGGAGGGTGAGCTCGAAGGGCCCCCCCGCATTATTCTACCCGTAGATGGCCCCCGAAATCGCCAGCAAACCTCCAATGCGCACCTCTCTGCCTTATACTCCTCCGCTGGTGAAACAGCTGGGGCTTCCTCTGCTCATACGTACTCCGTGCGCACGGCACTGCTTACACTTCATCGTTCCTGCCCAGTCTACTGCCTTCGTCGTCCTCCTACTCCTCCGTCCTCCTGATTCTCTTCGCAAGTCAGTATGTCAAGGGACTCCTGGGGGGTCGGCGAAACCGCGTAAGCATCTCGAATCACTCCTGCAGAAACCTTCAGTGCCCCCCTTGACGGGTGCTCCACTAACGGGCACTTTGGCCAGCGGCCCGTCGAATCATACCCTTCCCGATGCGGACAATGCTGCAACGCTCGAGAGAAGCCCCAAAACTGCAACCCTCATCCGAAGAAGAGGACTAGCACGGCATCAACAGAAACGTTCGGAGGTCTGCGCGGATTTCTTGGGTCGGCGCTGCGCCCCCCCTCCCTGGCGAGCTCCGCGCGCCAGGGGCAGCGCCAGAGGCGCAGCCAGTGGAGCGTAGTGGAGCTGGGCGCCGATCCAAGAGATCTACGTGGAGCTCCCAAAGTTCATGGTTGTGACATCTCCCCCCAGCAGTGCTTGCACTAAGAGGTCTCCCTGCTCCTCTTCTAAGGCACCGGGTACGTTTGCTGCCCCAGCGGCCCCGTTCCCGTTTCGTCGCCGCCACATCTGGGCCCGCTTGCCGCCCCGGCGGCTCTCTTCCTGTCCGTCGCCGCCCCATGTTTCCCGCATGTCCCGCCTGTCGCCGCCTTCCCGCTGCATCCCCCCGTTGCATTGCAAGCCTGGGATTGCAAGCCTGGGATTGCAATCGCACTGCATTGCAATCGCCTTGCGTTGCATTGCGAGCGCGTAGCATCGCATTGCTCTGCAGTGTATTCATTTGCATCGAGCTGCATTGCGTTGCGCTGATTTGTACAGCTTTGCATCACATCATATTATTGTGGTTTGCGTTGCGTTGCATTGCTTTGCCTTGCATTGCGCTGCGTTGCTTTAAATTGCTTGCATTGCGTACCATGGTTATGTATTGCAGTACAGTGCGTCGCAATGGCTTACAAAGAGTTGCAATGATGTGCATTGCTGTGCACCTCACTGGTTTGCATTGCTTTGCAGTACGTTGCGTTGTTTTGCACCGTTTCGCATAGCTTTGCGCCACACAAATTGCACCTATGGATTCTCTTTCCCAAGAACAGATTCGGATCTGCCCCCCCCCCCGCCGCCGGAATGATTGATTGGTACCCCCTGAAAAAATACAATTCACATATATTTCTGCCCCATCGTCCGTCTCGAATAAGAACCCTCGTCCATGATTCTGCCTCGTAGTCCATACCATCCCAGCCAGGCCGATATCGACACCCCCCGCATCCCCGTCCAAGAATACTATGCGCGCTCTGTCAATTATCGCTCGTCTAAAAAAACACGGGCTTCTCAACTAAACCTTGTAAAACAAATGACAAAATCGACGCGCGCGCGTCGTCGCGTTCGAACGCTGGAATTCGGAGAAAAAGCAGTGTGTGTCTCAAGGATGTCAGAATCGAGATCCCCGAAGAATATAGAGCACACTGTTTTGCAAGATGGTGTCCCCCCAAGAAAACATGCGCGCGTGGTCGTTCGACCTGTTTACGACACGCGTAGGTTTTGACACACGTTCATCAAATGCATGTCGAAATATGTCGACTGTCCTTGCGCGCTTGCTGGCCGTCTCGCGTGCGCATGTCGAAATATGTCGACTGCCCTTGCGCGCTTGCTGGGAGGGGCGCGATCCCTGCCAAGTAAAACCATGCGGGCCAACCGCGCGTCGGCCGCGCGCGCATGTCGGAATCCTTCCCAAACTTTCATCACCGACACGTAGACACCACCATGGTCATCGGCGTGACCAGCATCGGCGCCGTCATTGATCGTGCCGTCGCCACCGTTATCATCGTCACCAACATCGGTACCATGATCATCGTGCCTGCCGCTGCCGATGTCGCCATGATACCGCGTCCGCCCGAGTCACAGACTCGCACTTAAGTGCCTGCGCGGCAGCGCGGCCTCTGAGACGCGCGGGAAAGTCCCGAACGGTCAGCGCCACCGCGGCCGCGTCGGCTGCGCCAAACTAGATGGCCGCTCTGCGCGCGAGCATGCGCGCGCCAGCGCGGCCGCAGAGATGCGCCAGCCAGCGCCGAGCAGTCATCTCAAACGCCGCCGCAGGGATTTTGCAAACCAAATTGCGTGTGTGTGTGTGTGTGTGGGAAGCTGGCACGAGCGTGGGAGGTGGTCCCGCACGAAGGAGTCAAAGTCGATTGCACCACCCAGATTGCACCACCTAGACTACACCGCATAGACTGCAAGAAACAGCTGCTCGGGGTCACTGGCTACCGTGTTCAGAAGCCTCTTGGATGGGGTCCGAGCAGATGGGGCCGACTGAGCTCGCCGCATCGCCGATACATCGGCGATGTATTGCCGACGTCGGCATTGAGAACATCGGGCTCCGCATCGAGCCGCACCGCCGATGCATCGGCGATGCGGCACGATCCGCCGACCCCATCCGCTCCAACCCCATCCAGGAGGAGGCCTGGAGCGTAGACTGCAAGAAGCCGCTGCTCGGGGTCCACACTGGCTACCATGTTGTACGTCGCTCGGCTCTGGCGTCGTCGCCACAGGCGAACAAAAAAATCCGAACGCGGGCGCCTGCGGCGAGCTCATCGCGCCGGCGAGGCGCCGCCCGAGCCCAGGGGCGATCATGGGCGACAGCAGGGGCGAGGCGACAGCCAACTCGCGGACCTCCGCGCGCGCGCGTTGCGGAGAAGAGGAGCAAAACCACAGCATAAACATAAACGGTTGGGTGCTCCGCGCGGATCTCTTGGATCTGCGCCGGAGGCGCCGCCAGGGGGTCCAACGCGGATGCAGGAAATCCGAACGGAGCGCAGAAAAGTTTATGCTTAGTTATGAATGTTGTTCTTCTTCGGGCTGCTGCTATTGCCGTTGAGTATGATCCGCTCGCCCGGAGGTTATCCAGAGGCCTCCTAGGCGGGGTCCGAGTAGATGGGGTCCGAGAATTGCGCCGCCTCGCCCATGCATCGCCGACGCCTCGGCGACGTCGGCGTGGAGAGCGTCGGGATCCATATTGAACCGCATCGTCGATGCATCGGCCATGCGGCACAATCATCCGACCCCATCTGCTCTGACCCCATCTGACTGGCCTAGATACTAGCCGGAAGGTTATCGTGTGCCTTTCGCTGCTAGAAATTCTCCCGCATGGGGATGGCTGCCAGCGTTCGGGGGCTGCCCAAATCGTCCCGAGCGGCCGCCGGAGGCCCGAATTATGGCCCGACTTCTGGTCTTTCGTCGTTTCCGGCTTCTTGGGGCCCTCCCCAGGCCCCAGGGGATGTCAGAATGGGGCCTCAGATGAAAAGCTGGGCCCGGGGAAAAGGGTCGTGACTGCCGGGGGGGGCGGCTTGGCTTGACCAAATCAAGAAATTTGATCTCTGGTTGATTGCTAAACCTGAGCAACTGACACGACTAGACACAATCAATCCGCCTTCGAGCTCTCGTCTTGGCGCCAGCTACATGCTCTTTGCAAGTGAGGCTCACGCTCAGGCGTCAAGCGTGTAGGTGGTCTGCTGAGGCCTCCAAACAACTCTCCGTTTACGACTGTTTGCTCTTAATTGGTCGCGTCACTCAACACGTGTGCTCAGAACGCTTGATGCCCGCCTTCTTTGTCTTCAGTCGTACTCTGCATTCGGGGTATATATTCTTCCTTTGCCACGTGTATGGCGCGGCGGGATGGAAAGAGGAAGACGGGAGAGAGGGAGATAGAGAGACAGAGAGAGAACAGCGCGGAAGGGCGGAGGGAACGAAGAGGGAGGGGGAGGCAAGGAGGAGAGAGGAGGGTGAAGAGGGCACAACTGTTGAGGACACAAATATTCAGCAGGAGGGGGGAGCACGAGGATCGGCGGGCGGACCCTGACGGGCACATCGGGCGGGTGGACCCCAACGGGCGGGTCGGGCGGGCGGGCCGTATACGGGGCGGGCTGGGCGGGCGTGCTCTCCCGGCGGGCCCAGCGCGACATCGGAAGAGCGGGTGGGCGCCCCGTCGGGCGAACGACGGGACTCCGACGAGGCGGTCGTGCGGGAGGAACCCTCGCGGGCCGGCGGGGAGGGCGGAGCCCAACGGGCGGGTCGGGCGGGCGGGCGTGGAGACGAACGTGGCAGACTGCTGGGAAATCGCTGGGTGCCAGGAGCGCAGCGCCTGGGCAGACGGCCGAAGGCGGAAGCGCAATTCCTGAGCAAATGGGAGGGACGTCTCGAAGGATTGCAAAAAAACGAAGGATTGCAAAAAAACGAAGGATTGCAAAAAAAAAAAAAACGAAGGATTGCAAAAAAACGAAGGATTGCAAAAAAACGAAGGATTGCAAAATCCTTTGTTTTTTCGCAATCCTTCGTTTTTTTGCAATCCTTCGTTCAAGCGATGGTGCGATTGTGAGGAAGCCTCCGGCGGCGTTTTTGCTGCAGCGGGGGGGCCCAACCGAAGGGCGCAGTTAGACGCAGCACTTGCCCTGACCAATAACAAGGTTGGATCCCTGGGGGAGTGACTTCAATCGAGAAGCGCGACGCTCGCAGGTCAGGGTGGACCCCAGCCGCTTCTGATCATGTTTATGCTTTATCTTTGAAAACTCAGCAGCGCTCCCAATTGACATTGAATAGCTTGTTGCTCAGGACTGGCGCTCCCGCAACGGCGCCGAGCACCCGCCTTCCAACAAAGTCAGCATCCCCGCTCGATACCTCAACTCATTTCGCTCCAGAATGGCGCTCCTGTCTCGTCTCTGAAAATCCCCCTTTCCACCAGCAGCGGCGCTTCCGCTCGACAAAGCGCGTCGGGCGGGTGCGAACAAGAAGCAAGGAGGTCATCCTCGCTCTTCACGAATGGCACCCTCGCCTCCGCACCAACTGCTTGGGGATTCCTGGTTGTCAAACTGTCTATTGCATCCTCGGGGGACCTTGTCTGTCTCGTCGCGGCCCTATCCGCGTCGAATCCGTGTCGAATCCATGTCGGACTTGTCGAAGTCGTGTCGAATCCGTATTGAATCCTCGTCGAATCCGCGCCAAATCCGCGTCGGGTTCGCATCGGGCCCGCGTCGGGCACAAGAAAAGACACCGATTTGGGGGACAGGCGAAGCCCCCGAAGATGCAGCGTAACGAACTGCCTCAGTCTGTTCGCCTTGGAATCCGCTCCCAAGGCTTCTGCGTTCGATTAGCCAAATAAGGACCCCTAGCCCGTTGGGAGGCGACCCAAGGTAGGAGAGCCAGACACATTTGGGGTGGGGGGTCTATCTGTAGACGTATCAGACCAAAGCGACCAAAGGTATTATCTCTAATGCGAAGATGGGGGCCTAGGTGAGGCCACGTCTTCATCGTATTATTCGGGTTAAGAGTTCTTTTATCCTCGAGAAGCGTCGCCCCAAGGGAATCTTCTCCATGAGCCTCGGCACCTTTGAGGCCGTCTCTCCGGCGCCGCAGGGCGTCTCTCACGAGCTCTCTATGGATGCCGGAAAAGTCTCGACACCGAAGCGCGGGAGCGACGCTCGTTCGCAGAGGAAGACAGAGAGAGAGAGAGAGAGAGAGAGAGACCAACGCGAAAGAAAAAGAACGAGAGAGAGAGAGAGACAGCAATGCGGAGGGGCAGTGCGAGACGGACAGAGCGGGGAGGAGGACACCAGAAGCAGAGCGAGCACAGTCTGGGACGCCTCCGCGGCCTCCTACGGCGGCGAGGCTCCCCGAGCCCCGCGCGCGCAGGGCCGCGTCGGGCGGTGCCCCGCCCGGCCTTGCTCCTCTGGGCGTCGAAAGTCGCCTGCGCCTCCTGGCGCACGTCCGCGACCTGAGCGAGCGCTCGGCTGCGCGAGGCCGGGGGGGGAAGGCGCCAGGGCCTGAGGTACACGCGAAGCCGGAGGCAGTCCATGCCGTCGGCGTCCTTGGAGAGCCAGTGTCGAAAAAAAAACCGTGGCGACGAGGCGAAGCTCGCAATCGGGGCGACACCTGCGCAGCTTGCAGCACTGACAGAGGCGAGCTCCTGCTTGGATGCGGCAGGGGAAAGCAATTAGCGGACACTCCCCAGCTCCCCCAAAACTCAAAATTGGCACGCGCGGGGGAGACTGCGGTCAGAGTGGAACTCACCGGACCCACCGCCACCTTTGGACATGTGGCGGGGGAGGCGTCGACCTGTGAATGTGGCATGCGCGTTCGCTATGTTGTGCCCGAGGACTGCAGCGTGGCGGGGGAAGGGGGGAGCTGTTGTCGAGGGCTGCCTTCGGCGGCCGCTGCAGGCCGCCGCCGTGAGCTCCCAGGGCAAGGGAGTAGCAGGGCGAGAGAGCCAAGGAGGAGCACTGGGGGGAGGAGGAGCAGGAGGGGAGAGCAGAGAGGGTAGGGTAGGGGGAAGACCTGAGCGAGCGCTCGGCTGCGCTCAGCACAGGAGGAGTAAAAGGAAGAGGAAGAGGGGATGGGTCTCCACTTCCTCCGCCTCTCTCTCGTTCCTCCTGCTGCTCCTGCTTGGTGTTGTTGGCTCGAGTCAAGCTCGACGATTATGACATCATATCTCAATAATTCGTGGGGATGAGAAACAACAAGCAAAGTAATGAACGTCTCTGATGTGTTGTCATGATCGCTGAATGCTGCACCGACGATCTGAACACAAGCTGGCAATGATAACGGACATCACACCTACTGGACCAGCATGCGGCACCTGCGGGGCGGGGGTCGTGGGATGGGAAACGCATCAGCTGCACCAGTCCTCTAGAGATGCGCCCCGCGACATGGTTGGGAACTTCATTGGCGTTGAGCCGAACCTTCATGTCGGGATCCCTAGCCTGTGGCCTGACCCCCACGCTCCCCTGGCGGGCTGTCCATCGCTAAACCGATCGAGACACCCTTCGGGACAGTGTCGTAACTCAGTTGGGACACCATCGGGACATCATGAGTCTGACGGCGCCGAAGCCGATGCCAGCGCGGACAGCAACGCCGACGACGACGACAAGGCCGACAACGGCCACAGAGCCGCCGCCGCCGCCAACGCAACGCAGACGACGACGGCGATGCAAATGCCGACGCCGACGACGTCGACAACACCGATGACGTCGCCGACGCCGACGACGCCGCCGACGCCGCCGTAGCGATGCCCGACCACGATCTTCTCGAAATCGTCCCTGGATCCCTCGTTGAATCCGTCCTGGCAAATTGTTCGAGCCGCGTCCCGCTGCGGCGACGCCAACCTCCCAAAGCGCCCCACACACATTTTCTCGGGCTCCTACTGATCGCAAGATCCTGCAGAATCCTGCGCGCTAGCCCGTGTCAATGCATCCCTGGCTCTGCAGGATCCTGCAAGATCTCGCGCTCTGGCTGGCCCCCGTTTGCATTGACCCCCTCCTCTTACAGCTCCGAGATAATCCAAGATGCCAACGACGCCGGCGACGCCAGCGGCGATGGCGACGACGACTATGGTGCCGCTGCTGCCTCCAGAGACCTCTGGAGTTCTCGGAGGTCTCCGGCCAGGGTCTCCGCGGAGGAGTCCCTACTGGCCCAGGCAGGTCCAAGAAGGCCCCTAAACTTTGACCCCTGGGGGACGAGGATGAGGCGGAGGAGGGAGGAGGAGAGGGGAGGAAGAGTAAGAGGAGGAGGAGGAGGAGGAGGAGGAGGAGGAGGAGGACGAGGAGGAGGAGGAGGAGGAGTGGGAGGGAGGAGAGGGCAGGAGGAGGATGAGGAGGAGGCGAAGGAGAAGGAGGAGGAGGAGGAGGAAGAGGAGGAGGAGGAGGAGGAGGAGAAGAAGGAAGAGGAGGAGGAGGTAGAGGAGGAGGAAGAGGAGGAGGAGAGGAGGAGGGGGCCCAGGAGGCGGCAGGAAGAGGCGGAGGAGGAGGAGGAGGAGGAGGAGGAGGAGGAGGAGGAGGAGGAGGAGGAGGAGGAGGAGGAGGGAGGAGGATGATGCGATGGAGAGCTCTGCTTACGTTGAACGGTGTCCAGAGGGCTGCCTGGACCCTCGATCCTCGCGGTGACGACGTCTCCGACGCCGACGACGACGCCGACGCCGACGACATCGGCGCCGACGCTCCCGCCGACGGCGACTGCTCGGAGGTCCGGCGCCCGAAGACACCCCCAGGAGGCTGAAATCGGAGGAGAGACTCGCTCGATGGATCCTCGATCGATGACGACGCCGAGACGAAGCCAAGCTGAGGCCGGCGACGGCGACGCTGACGCCGACGACGCCGATGACGGCGACGACGGCAGCGGCGACGACGGCGATAGCGACAACAACGCCGACGACGCCGACGGTGACGACACCGACGCAGACGCCGACGCCGACAACGCCAGCGACGGCGACAACAGCGGCGCTGACGACTGGGGGAACAGAAAGACCCCGATACAACTCCACCGACCTCTCCAAAAATACGTTTTGACAATGATTTGGAAGCGAATCCAGCCGTGATCACGAGAGAAGGGCAGCGGTATGTTATCTCTTTCTCCTCTGAGCGACTGTCACTGTGACGGCGACGGTGACACCGTTGACGCCGACGCCGACGGCGACGGTGACGACGACGCCGACGTTGGCGACAGCGACGCTGACGACGCCGACGCCGACGACGACATAGACATGCGCGGCCCCAGAAATCCCGACCGACTTCCCCCATGTAGTAGTCACTCTCGGATCCACTTCCGATGGCAGCGGGCCACGACAGCGGGCGGCTCCAGGGGCCGAAACTTAGGCAAGAACGTCTGGATTTCGAACATTCGAATCCTCGGGAATCTGGGAACGGCCAAGGAGACGGCGACAGCCGCGGCGACGGCGAGGCTGACCACGACGGCGCTCGCGCCTGCGACGCCGACGGCGGTGACGCAACGGACGTTGCCGACGCCGACGCCAACGCTGACGACGGAGTCGGCGTCGGAGACGGCGTCGTTGTCGACGGCGTCAGCGTCGGCGTCGTTCACTGCGTCAGTTGCTACCCACCAGAGCACCCCAACCCAACCCGAAGACCCGAATTTCGGGTTGGGGGGGCACGGGCTTCGTATTACGTGTTATTAAAAGTTCCCTGACCCCACACACTGGAAATGGAGGGCAAATCGGGGCCTTCGGGCTGGGTTGGGGTGGTTTGGTGGGCGGTGGGTCAGCGTCGGCGTCAGCGTCAGCGTCGGCGTCCTCGTCGCCGTCGTCGTCGCCGCCGTCGGCGCCGTCGTCGTCGTCGTTGTCGTCGTCGTCGTCGTCGTCGTCGTCGTCGTCGTCGTCGTCGGCGTCGGCGTCGTCGTCGATCGACGGCGGCAGTGCCGCGGACGGCTCGGGGGGCGGCCCGCTGCAGCAGCGCGCCGCGCAACTCGGCGTGGCGGGCTCCGGCGCCGGGGGCTGCGAGCAGCCGCAGTTGTGTGCCGAGGGTCCACAGGGCGTCGAGCAGCTGCTCGATGGCGGCCTCGCGGGCACGGTCACTCTGGGAGGCCTGGACAAAGGCACAGGAGGAAGGGGGATGGCTGGCGGCACTCGCTCCGCTCGTGCGCCGATGCTGCGTCGAACGCCCGTCGACCTGGGTCGGACTTGAACCGAACGTGAGTCGAGCTGGAGTCGAAATAGACTCACCGTAGAGTCGAACAGACCAGTTAGGTCGGCCCCACATCACCCCTCGAAACCAAACGCAAGTCTTTCATTCGACGTGGCGGCGCCGCAGGACCCCAACATATCAATGCTCAAGCTGAAATTGGCGACTGCAAGCACAAGAATCTGACCCCGTGGGCCGCGTGTCGCGTGTCGACCAACATTGAAAACTTGCGCTTGATGTCGAGGAGGGTTGCAGGAAGGTTTCCAAGACTGGAAGAAGAGAAAACGCCATAAACATACACTGTTGGCGCTCCGCGAAGATTTCTTGGATTTGCGCTGGATGCCCCTCCCTCCCTGGCGCGCGGAGCGCGCCAGGGGCGGCGCCGGAGGCGCCGCCGGGAGGGCCCAGCGCGGCTCCGAGAAACCCGCGCGGAGCGCAAGAAGTTTATGCTTACGGCGATCTGTTCTTCTTCGAGGCGCCCGGGGCCGCGCACGGGCCGCCCTCGGAGGCAGCCTCGGCTGGCCTCGCAGCTCGGGGCGCACTGACAGGCGGGGGCTTGGGGCAGAGGCGGGTCTGCGGGGCACGGCGCTCCAGACGGCCCCTGGAAGCAGGATGCGCGCCTCGCGGGAGCATCCCGCGGGGCCCGTCCCCCGGCCCCTGGGAGGCCCGCGCCTCGGGCCGTCGAGGCCGCCCCCGGGGGCCTGCGCGGGCAGGGCAGGGCCAACCCCCACGCCTCACTTCAAGAGGCGGGAGGAGCGGCGGCGAGCGAGGGGGGGGAATGCGAGAGGGGGAAGGCCTTCTCAGAGGGCTCGGAAGTCCCCCAGCCTTCTGAGAGGTGTTCTGGGCGTCTCCCGAGGACACAGAAAACTCCTCAGAAGGCCGAGCGGCTTCTGAGGAGCCCCGCCGCCTTCTGAGAAGGCCTTCTCCTTCTCACTTCCCCCCCTCGCTTGCCGCCGAGTGGAGGAGGATGAGGAGGAGGATGAGGAGGAGAAGGAGGAGAAGGAGGAGGAGGAGGAGATGGGCGTCGCGAACAATAACTGCCCCAGAAGAGCCCCAAGCATTGCATGGCTGGGGGGCCTTCGTTGTGCTCGCCGCGGGAGGGGGGGGGCGGGCGCCATGCCGAGGGCGGCATGCGAAGAGACCGAGGAGGACGCCGGCTAGGGAACTGGCCCGTTACTCCTACTTTCTCCGAAGGATTGCAAAAAAACCTTCGGTTTGTTGTTTGCAATCCTTCGTTTTTTTTGCAATCCTTCGGCTTTTTTTGCAATCCTTCGTTTTTGTTTGCAATCCTTCGGTTTTTTGCAATCCTTGGGTTTTTTTGCAATCCTTCGGGGAACTGGCCCGTTACTCCTACTTTCTGATGCTTCCCTTTGTATGTTCTGTGGGGCAGTGCTTTACGACGCCATGGCCAAAGTAAGCAATGCGAGGTGCAGATTTTCGCTGGCGATGATTGCGCCAGCCGCTTGCCAAATCTCCATGGCGCACCGAGGGCACTGAATGGTTCACCAAAGGCGCCGTCGCCCAATTCAATATTTCGCATCCCTGACATTTTCAGGGGGCACCTTCGCCAAATATCAGCTTGCTGATATAAATCGAACACACCCGAACGGCTACTTAGCAGAGTTTCGGGGCCGGGGGCGGCAATCAACATCCCAAGAATATGTGTGGCAACCGAAATTTCTGAGCCGATCTAGCATATGCCAGGTGCACCGCTACTGTGAAGCCCGATGAATTGAGAGCTACCCGTGACAATGACTGCCCAGGGCCACGCAATTCCCAACGGCCCGCCTGGAACCATAACGGTCCGGACCGCTGGACGCAAAATTAGGCATGGACGCATTCTCCCCCCTTACGTTCCTGAGGGTTCTGATGGACACGATACCTTGCATCGCATTCACCAGACGAGCTGCTTTGAAGGGATGCGACCCCTCTTGGAGCCTTTCAAGACAGCTCGGGATGGCCCCAAGAAAATCCCAAGAGGGCCGCAAGAAGGCTCCGAGAAAGCCTACGGCGGGCAAAGATGGCCCCAGGAGGGCCCCAAGAGGGCCACCGACGGATGCTACAACGGGCCCCACTGTTGTTGTATCCGTCGGGGGCCCTCTTTGGGGCATTTCTGGGACCCTTCTGGCCCCAATTGGGGCAATCTTGGAACCATCTCAAGCCCTCTTGAGGCCTTCTTGGGGCCCTCCCAGGCAGTCTTGGAAAGTTCCAGGAAAGCCTTCGATGGATGCTACAACGAACCCCCCTGTTGTAGCATCCGTCTGAGGCCCTTTTGGGGCCCTCTGGGGACCCTTTCGCCCCCCGTTTGGGGCCGTCTTGGAGCCATCTTGGCGCTCTCTTACCCTCCTTGGGGCCCTTCCACGCCGTCTTGGAGGGCCCCTTCAAAGCCACCCGACGGATGATACAACGGACCCTCCCTGTTGCAGCATAGCCCGGGATGGAAACACGACGGGAAGCGTTCCATGGACTGGGGCTCGGCGGCGGGCGGGGAGGACGGGCAGCCGATACCTCGCGAAAACGGGCCACGTACAGTCTGGCACTTAGCGGCGGGGGCGTGGTGCACGTCGGGTACGGGCGTCGCCGCTTTCTCTGTGCACCCCGCCCCGCTGGCTAAGTGCACATCTGTGCGTGCTACGTTTTGCGCGGATGTCACAAGCGAAACCAGCACGTAATTACAGATGTGCACTAAACGGCCCGCTAAGTGCACATCTGTACGCGGTGGATGCTCCGGACGGGCACCTAGCGATAGGGACGTGCACGCACAGACTGGCACCTAGCGATAGGGACGGGACACAGGTCGGGTGCGTCACCGCGCCGCTCCAGCTGAGTCAGGGGGACGGGAACCGATGACGCTTCTCACTGACAGCGCCAGGGGGAACCAGCAAACCACGTACCAGACGACCGAGTACAGTAGCCTGCTGGCCCGGCTCTACGCGAAGCCCGCGCTGGGCCTCTGGCGCGATGATGAGGGTGATCTGGTTTAGCACAGTCCTCCTCCTCCTACTGGGTCTGGCGTGCCCCGAGGCTGCCCTCTCAGACCGGCGGCGTGCGCGGCGCTCCTCCACCGAACGACGCTGCAGCACTTCGCCGGCTCCCCGGGGTGGCCGGTCACGGCGCACCTCGAAGACGTGGCTGTCGTGCTGGCCGAAGAAGCGGAGCAGTTCCTCCACGACCTCTCTGGCAGACTCAGCGCCTGGGGGCTAGTTCTTAACGCTGCCAAAACGAGAGTGTGGCTCCCTCCTGGCCACACCCAGTGCCCCCCAGCACTGCAGCCCCATGTGGTGGACGATCTCCGCGTGCTCGGGTGTGGCCTGACGCGCCGCCAGGACGACAATTGGGCGGAGCTGGCTGCTGGCTCCAGAGGCGGAGCCCGAGCCATGGGCAAGGTGACAGAGGCCTTGGGGACTTTCGGCCAAACCTTGGAGGACGCCGTGACCGCTGGCCTCCGGGTCCAAGAGGCCAGTGCTATGCTCCGCTGGACTGCGCAAGGCTTGCCGAACCACCTTCTGCGCGCGCAACTCGTGGACCAGCGGGCGGTGCAGGCTTTCGACCGCGTCCTCCTGGGCCTCTGGGACCGCCTCCTCAACGAGGCCCAGACCGACAAGGAGCGGGCCCAGGCTTGCCTGCCGCTCCGAGACGGCGGCCTCGCAGCAGGAGCCGCCGCACCCCGACGGGAAGCCGCCCACGTGGCCGCCTGGTGCGCCGCCGCCCTGGCGGTCGCGCGCCTTGGGCATGGGCAGCGCAGAGGAGCTCCTTGCGAGGCAGGCCACGGACACCCAGGGTTTCTCCGACGCTGTGGCCGCCTACAGCACAAAGGTGGGCAACGCGGCCTACTACCTCCAGGTCTCGCTCGCGCAGGGCGAACGGAGCAGACAGAAGGACTTGATGCTGCCCGTCATGGAAGTCCTTGTCACGCGGGCAAGGACAAGCCTGGACCACCGCACGCTGAGCCACCTTCAGTCCTGCGGAGGTCCCGGGGCTGGGGCCTTCACGCTGCTGCCTACGGCGCCAACGCACCAGATGGCGACCGACCTGTACCGCCGACTGGCGTTGCGGACGGAGGCGCCTACAGATGGAGGGCCCGCGGCTGCTGAATGGTCATGCATTGCAGACGCCCTGTCAACACACATTCTGCGAGGGGGTGGTTTGCGGAGCGTTGCATGAACCCGATCAGCATCACGCCATCGCGTGCGAGAGGGGGCCCACGCGCACGGCGCGGCACGGCTGGGTCCGAGATTTGTTGGCGCGCTGGCCGGCCAAGAGGGTCTCGGACCTGGTGCAGACCGAACAGACCGTGCCGCAGTGGACGCGGCGGCGCCGGGATCCAGAGACTGGCCAAGATCGGATGGAGCTGGCGGTGCTGGACATCAAATGTTCCGAGAAGGGCGCCTGCCACGTGGTGGACGTGGTGGTCACAGACAGCGCGGATGAGCGCGAGGAGAGGGCCAGGGCGGCCCACGCGGGCCTGGCTGCCGAGGACGCTGCACGGGGGAAGCTCCTGCGCTACCCGCCTGACCCAACGACGCCGTCGAGACAGGCGGGCGGGTCGGCCAAGCGGCCAGGCAGCTCGTGCTCGACCGGCTGGACCGCGCAGAAGGCGAGGCGGGAGCCAGCGCGGACGCCACTGCCCTCTGGCAGGAACTCTCGGCCACGCTGCAGGCTGCAGTGGCCGAGCAGATCCTGGCCGCTCACAGGCCAGCGGCCCCGACCGTAAGGCGCTAAACAGGGCGAGGAGGTGGCGGAGGAGGAGGAGGAGGACGAAGTGGAGGAAGAGGAGGAGGAGGACGAGGAGGAGGAGGAGGCGGCGGCGGTAAGTGAGAAGGCCGACGCAACCAACTTGAGGGCAGAGGGGGCAGTGGAGGAGGCTGCCGGCGAGG